AGGGTGTGGCACCTGTTATGAGTCCATTCATATATTTAAATGAACTCAGCACCACCAACTGGTCAATTAAAAAATCGATGAAACAACCATTCCTTTAGTTGCTTCAATTTATTAATAATTCATTATTTATTTATTTATATCAAATGACAGGCATTTTGATAGTTATCATTAGCCCTTTAGTTGACTTCAGGCTTCACAGGGGGGAAGGAACATCAAAGTGAAAAAAGGTCTTGGGGGGGGGGGGGGAGACAGAAGAGTGATTCAAAGATGTAAGAGAGACAGACACAAAGGTAGAGAAAAGGGTAAAATGAATACTGTGAAAGTGGTGGAATATGACATACAGTGGGGTGATGGTAGTTTGAAGTCAGAAGTCAACTGCCGGTGAATAGACTTTTTTGCCGTATGAGTATACGTTGCCCAGGGTACACCACGTGGAAGTAAGTCTTTCGCACACCTTTTTTCTTCTTGTTGGCTTTAGTAGATTTATACAATCATTTCGCATCATTTATCAAATAATAATACTATTATTAATACTCATATAATGTATTGCAACGCAATATACTAGGAGACTTTTAAAGATTTAGTAAGTATAAACAAAAACTATGGGAGAGGTAAACTGACAAGATGGTTGGGTTGAGGCAAAAGTAAGAAGAAGTTTCTTTACTCTCGAATAAAAGGTAAATAATAGGAATAACTTCTGGGCAAGGTCAACGAAGGGCATAGGTAGAATTATCAAAACTCAACTAATAGCAGAACCCCTCAGTTGGAATGCAACCGAATAGATGATATCTGAGTGAAACATTCACCTTAAACAAATTCCAAAATTGATCTCCTTCATTCATTTCTATCCACCGGAATTCAATTGCTGAGATTGTAGAATGCCAATTAAACTTCTTTACTGCTGACTATGCACAATCTCAATTATCGATCTGTACTGTCAAGTGTTAGAAATGACGATTGTTGACCATTAGTATTCCAAATGGTTCTTACGTTTCGCAGACATTGACAAAGCTAATGTACTTTTGTCTGTTTATTTAAAAGAGCCATGGTAAATAAAGATGTCCTAATAGAATCAGGCCATGAAAACCATTTTTGTAAGAAAAAAAGGAGGTAAAGCGGAAAAGGAGAAAATGCGAAAATATCTCGCTTCCCCTGGGAAAGACTTGACAACCGACCTATGGGGGAGAAGAAATCGACTAATAAGAAATCGCATATTAATCTTTTGCATCAAAGACCGAATGGAAAGAGGCCAAAAGTTGCCATCAAAGATAAGTTTCCATGAGAACAGAATCCGTGCCACTGGTACCTAAGAGACCATTCCATTAAGTAATATTTGTTTATTTATTTCAAATGACAGGTGTTTTGATAGTTATCATTAGCCCTTTAGCTGACTTCGGGCTCCATAGCGAGGAGGAGAAGCATCAAAGTGACAAAAAGACGAGAGGGAGACGGAATAATGATTCACAGATGTAAAAGAGAAACACAGACACAAAGGCAGAGAAAAGATAAGATGAGTACTGTGAAGGGGTCGAATATGACAAGCAGTCGGGCCATAGTAGTTTGAATTCAGAAGTCAACTTCCGATTAAAAAACTTTTTTTACCGCATGAGTATACGCTGCCCAGGGTGCACCTCGTGGAGATGTTTAATATACCAGAATAAGATGTTACAATTTTCTTCCTGATATAGTGAATTTAAAAAACTAAATTTTCTTCTATTTGAAGAGTGAAGTGAGCGGAAATATCCTCTCAACTTCTAATCTGCAAAACTGATTGAAAGATGTAATGCAATTCCACTCATTGAGATGTTGCTTGCAAACTATCAAAATTACATTAAACTGGGTTATCATGAAGGATAACTTTCAACTCCACCGAAAAATTATATTAAGTTAATTAAAAATGTATGATCGAGGTGAGCGATAGATTTACCTCCACGTAGTGCACCTGGGCAACGTATACTCATACGACAAAAAGGTCTATTAATCGGCAGTTGACTTCTGACTTCAAACTACCATGACCCGAATGTATGCCATATTGCACCACTGCACAGTACTCTCCTTACCTTTTTCTCTACCCTTGTGTCTGTCTCGTTTACATCTGTGAATCACCCTTGTGTTCCCTCCCTCCCCACTCCCCCCCCCCCCCCCCCCCGCCTCCTCGACTGTTTGCAACTTTGATATCCTTCCCCGCTACGACGACCGAAGTCAATTAAAGAGCTGATGATGACTAACGTAAAGCTTGCCATTTGAAATAACATTATCTTATCTACGTTTTCTGTCTAACCAGAATGTAATTGATAAAACTTATCGAAATAATTCCGTGTGTCAGTGGGTCCGCTTTAACTTTGCTATGGGTTGAGACATTGGGAGATGAAAATGATTGACTGTTTCTAGGCTATTGAACGCATTTTGCGCCAAAAAACAACAGGGTAAGTACTTGACAAGCTACTGTCAAAATTTATGAATGTAGGGACGATAATGTAGGGAGTAGAATTGCAAAAAATATCACAATTCAACCCAGGTAGTTGTGCGGCTGACAATAATTACGATCTAGGTGTATGATTGATGCACTTTAAACAAATATGTTAAAAGGAGGGCTAAAAATAAAGTGGGTGGCCCAAGACCATAATTGGATGTGGGGATAAACGATGGTGTGTTTTCTCGCATCGATGCTCGTCTCCTTTCGTGTCTGGAGACAACTTTCATTCGCTTTCCATTTATCAACCATTTTTAACTACTTAATTTTTTGGAACGTACTCCCACTCATAAATTTGCGAATATTATTATTATATCAAATTGCAGGCGTTTTGATTGTTATCATTAGCCCTTTAGTTGACTTCAGTCTTCACAGAGGGGAAGGAACATCAAAGTGTAAAAAATTCAAGAGGGGGGGGGGGGGAACAGAAGAGTGTATCAAAGACGAAGGTAGATAAGGTGGAAAAAAGGTGAGGTGAGTACTGTGAAGTAGTCGAATATGACATACAGGGGGGGGGGTAGTTTGAAGTGAGAAGTCACCTGCTAGTTAATAAACTTTTTTTGCCATATGGGTATACGTTGCCCAGGGTGCACCACGTGGAGGTAAGTCTATCGCACACCCCAATTTGCGAATGTTAACCAACAGAAAACTTCCTAGTACTCCACCTCTTCGCAATACCTCTTTTAAAATACGCTCTAATTATATTGCTCGTAGAGTATTGCTCTACGAGTATCTCCTGAAAAGCCCCAAAACCATGTAAGAAGTGTCAACAACCCTTGAGAGGGATGACCCGGAGAAACTCTTCACACCAACCCTCTTTCTTGACCCAAACACACATCAACCGAAAGTGCGCCGATAAGAAAAGATCTCGCGAGTGCTAAGGTTTCCTAAGTTAATTCTTGTTCAATTGCATCAAGAGAAGTGGTTGGTAATAACTATCAATGGCTTTAGTGAATCTAGCTAAGTACTTCTTTATATCAAATGGCAGGCTTCGGGCTCCACAGAGGAGAGAAACAGACAAAGCTACAAACACAGTCGAGGGGGGGGGAACAGAAGAAAGATTCACAAATGTGAAAGAGACAGGCACAATGGTAGAGAAAAAGGTAAGATAAGCAATGTGGAAGTGGTCAAATATGACATACAATCGGGACATGATAGTTTGAAGCCAGAAGTCAACTACCGGTTAATAGACCTTTTTTGCCGTATGAGTATACGTTGCCCATGATGCATCACATACACTTACTTCTACAGAAGTGATGAAAGGGATTTACCGTTAGTTTAACCCAAGGAAGCACTTTAGCCATTTTCTGTAAACAGTACAACACTTAGTCAATTGTCATGAGCCGGATTTGTCTACTCAACCAAAGAACATCATCTGGGTACTTGGATTAACCCTTCAATACCCTTAGGACCGTACGGTCCTCTTTCCAATTAAGCCATTTGAAGCATGTTCAATACGTCTATGGCCTCTGCCTGATATAACCAAATCTCACCACGTCGGAGGCTTCAGCCTTCTTTGAGACACGTGTGTGCGTTTGGCTACATTTTTTAAAAAATAATGCGCGTGTTAAAGGGTCGCATCCATTGGTCTACTTGTCTTATCTTGGCCCGTCTTGAGTGTGTAGAGGATCATCAAAATTGAAAGATTCAGTCATCCATTCGACGACACTATGAAAATTAATATCGCATTCCTCCAACCCAGCTTTTGACTAGTAGTCACTGACCACGTGATCTCTCATCTAAAGTACACTCATCGTCCCATTATCGGCGCCGCATTTCCCATAACGCCAACTCCCAAGTATGCTCTCCTCGGACAGACGGATGAATGCCGCAGATAAACCCGAATCCCACTACAACCATTCAATTGGCCACTTCTGCAAAGTTTGAACTCTCTTGTACTGCACTACGACTAGAGAAACAAGTCCTGTTGCTAAGACGTATCCGTTACCCTGCATTAAACTCGGACAAGAGAAAAGGTTTTGGAAAAATTTAATTAACCTAAGACAATTTTAGCAACCAAGCCAGTGTGTCAAGTTGATGTTGGTACATTAAAATATCATTGGATCGGTAAGACTTAGAGATAATGTGTGCCCACAAGTCGGTAAGGCTGATAGACAAGTTAGAGACCGCCTGTGGGAATAGATTAAACCCAGAGAATATATGAAACCCTTAAAAGAGAGATTAATCAATAAGGTTAATTATTTTGTTCATTGAACACGTGCACTGATGCAGACATCAAACCACATTAACTTTCGTACACGAGCTAATCAACAAGAGGCATAAACTTAAGTGAAGACCTTCTAAAAAAGGCGTATGAAGATTATATTTGATAGAATAATAATACACGCGTTTAGATAACAGTTTCCGCGAATCGAAGACTAATTACAAAAATTGATCGAGAAAAAAAGGTTTTGTGATTGTACAAATATAATCTCTTAAATATCAAAAATAGTACACACGGCACGACAAATCTCAGATGGTGAAAAACTCAAACACACACGCTGAGTAAGCAGCACGCGGTTGGGACCTATCTACTTCTTCGTTTTATTTTTTCATACATAATCATTACGGATTCATCGTCACCATTGTTGTTGTCCTCGGATTCGTCAATAATTTCAATAGGAGATGTGGCTGAACGCTTACTACCATCTGAAGCACCTTTAACTGAGATTGCTTTACTCGTCTTGGAGGCTAGGTATCTGGGGGCGGTGGGACAGATTGGTGCATTTCGGCACGACTCACATTTCGGCCGTCCAGGAAGGCATGTCTGCTGTCCGAAACCCACGAGGAGTTTGTTAACATCTGCCCAAATATCGCTACAACGTTCAAAAGAAGTGCATTACAAAACTGATGAAATCAATTTAGGTAATTAATCGCCAAAAACAAACCGAGGAAGCCAGCTTTCCAGGTATATCCGCGTTTCTTCTGGACTTTTGGTGGGTTGAGGAACCCAGTGGAGCCGATTTGCGATTCGATGAACATGAGTGTCAACCCCGATGCCGGTTATTTCATCCCAGGCAACCTTCATGGCTAAATGAGCCATTTTCGGTCCCACACCCGGTAGGCTCATGAGTTCTTTCACAGATCGGGGAATATCACCATTAAAGTTTTCATCAAGAATCTTAGCCACCTTCTTAATGTTCTTTGCCTTGGTCTGCAAACCAGGTAAAAGGGAATTAGAGCTACTTATTACATTTTAGTAGAAAATAAATTCGTAGCGCACTTACTCGATAAAAGGAGACGGGATGGAGCATATCTGCCAAATCGGATTCGTGAATGTCCTTTAGGGCTTTCACATTGGCGACGTTGTTTTCAATCAATTTAGTCATTGTACTGGATGTTAACTCATCTTTTGTCTGAGAAGAGAGCATTAGACCTAGGAGAACTTGCAATCGATAGGTCTAAAGGTGGAGACGGAATTACAGATTAGCATCTTCGAATATTAATAAGTAAATCATGGGCTTCAACTAGAAGCGTAGCGGTCTAAGAAAATGAGATCAAATAGTGCTTTTAGTGACAGGAAAATTGAAAAAAAAATCGACCAATAAATAACCGCAAGGCATGTGTCCTATTTATTTGAAACCGTAGTAGGTTAGAGAAATTGCCTTATACGAGCCGATGGTTTACAGTATGGTGGGGATTGGAAATGCCCAAACTTTTCCAATCCAAGAACAGAGCAGAAAGATAAATCAGCATTTTTGAAAAGTAAATTACACTGTGCCCAGATTATTGCACGACCAACACCTAGTTCTGGTCAAGCTTTACGCCTTATTGGTACTCACAAATATTATATCAATTAATAAGATTGTTGAATAGAACTAGCTGCGTGTGATAAAAAACTAATACTCAACTATAAACAGAAGCCAATTAAAGGGTGGTTATTGAACTACACGGTTAGGTACCGATGGTTTACCACAGAAATAAACAATCACGGTAATTAACGCAAATATGAAACAGCACAGCGACGAACAAAGAGACAAAGTCTGCAAAAGAAATATTTCTACTTGGCTAAAAGATAAGCAAAACTGATTCACTTTAACTGAAAAATTCAATCCTCTCTAAGATATCAAAATGGAAATGGACTTGGAACAGAGTCAAAGCATTTACATTTCTCCGTAACGTGAACGAAACATAATTACATAATAAATTTAGGAAAAAGCTGTAATGATGATGCTGCTAATGGAAATTAACGCAATAGTGTCGAATCTGAATTATATAGAACTTTGGATCGGCTAAATCATGAAATTCTCAATGATAGAAAACAGACCAGCCAAAAATTTAAGAAAAAAAAAATTGCGATCGGCGAATGATAAAAAGTGGAAATATTCAAAAAAATAACAAAATACGAACCTTGGGATCAGCTTGTTTGTTGGCAAGCATATCACAACCCATTTTGTCTACTGGGGCGTCTTCACCTTTACGCATGTGTTGTATATTTTCCAATGTAGAAAACCAGTCATTCGGCTGCCAGTTAACTGCGCCGCAAAGAGCCTCAAGATCGGTCAGTTTAGCGCCTTTTCGAGAGCCTTTCATTTTGAAGGTGGAGAATCTCCTAATGAACGTAAAAAAACAAGAAAGTCGCTCAGTAATGCCGAGTTGGCAGAAGAACATTGACAAATATATAATTTGTAAAACCCACTTAATAAACAGTAAGAACTGGGAGATCATGAGCAAAATGGAAGAAACGGAGCGATTTTCAAATACAAAAATGTTTAAAAATTAGGATTATACGAGAAACAAAAAGTTCGCAGGCAAATATCATAATTTATTTATTCAAGAAGTGATTACAATCATTTTCTACACAGGCTCCATTGTTATTTATACAATTTTGTAATCCATATTCCCATCTGTAAATTTCAACATGGCAGAATTCTGGGTTGGGGCTGGAAACAAAAATATGGAGACCAATCCCTTCTTTTATCTCCGATAACACAACGAGTTCTTGTTGCTGTAACGCTTTCGGAACCCAACCAGAGCTTACTCAAAGAAAGAATGAGAATACTGGTTCGGGCGCGATTCCTACTTCGTTGACAATTTCGTTGGGTCTATTTCCTCGTGCGGCCTATAAAACATTGAATCCAATCATAGCTGCCCAAAAAGTGCAGCATCTCCATAAACTTGTTATAAAGCATATATGATCTGAAGAGGTATCCAACTAAGTTTAGTTCAGAATTTTTTGTTACCTCTGATCACAAAATTTACAATTGGAAGGTTTGAAAATTGTCAGTTATATTGATATCCTACCTGTCTTCACGAGCAAATCCGATAAGCATGAAATAACGCCACAGCAGATATTTATCCAAACAAGAGTGGGATCATTGAAGCCCATTATAATCATTGTTATTCCAAAGAGTACATAGCCGTATAAAATAAATTGAAAATAGAAATATTTTGATCGAGTTACTATGATTTTGAAAAAATACCTTGACGAAAAAATTTGAGACTAGTCATGAAAGAACGCCATAGTAAAGTCATATTTTCATGATATATAATAAAAGCTAAATATTTATCGAATTTTACTCCCACCCAATCTATTTTTGGAACGTGATTGCACAATTAATGAAATAAACCGAAACATTCGCCAATTTAGAATAGTTTGAATGTGATCGGGAAGAAGCCGTATTTTTACAGTAAAATATTATTGATCAGACTCCAAGACTGATTGTATGTGATTTGAAAATATTTATGCAGACATCAGAAATACGCACCATAAGAGTATTCTCTCAAAGATATCTTATGGTTCTCTACTTACAAAGGTTGCCTAATACTTACCTGAAGCACATAAAAATTCCATCGGTCGGTGTTTGGTTATACTTGATTACCGATGGTTTGTTTGAGGGTGCCCAACTACTTGGTCTAAAGGTTGCGTGGAAATCCCCCGAACTCATGATTTAAATCCCATATGACAACACTCGCTTTTCCCGTTGTGTTGCGGTTCACCACTTCGTGACAATTTTGTCATTGCTGCAAGAAGCGCTCAACTAATGTTATTAAGAACATTTGCTAACACCATGATCTGTAATCTTGGAAATTGGAAGAGAATTTTGTGCTTCTTGCTGTATTCAAGTAAGCAGTAAGCTTTGGAAAAATCATGCTTTAATTTCGTCAAGGTTATATTGTGAAAAACCCTTTTCTATTTGTTCATTCATTCTGGTTATTCAATAATTGAACTACTATATCGTTGTGATCTAAATTGTTGGCTTGAATTATTTCACCGTCGCGTTCAACTTCTTAAGTTAAAATGTGGACTTTGGTCAAATACTCGAGAAGTAAAAATAATTATTAGGCTCTTTTGGGGGTGATTTTGATGTTAATGATATAATCGTTTTATGTAAAAAGCAAAAGATTAGATGAATGTGTTCGAATGTTCATTGGCAAAAGAAGTACTAAGCACAGATTAGTTTTAATTAATTATAAAGTAATAGGTACTATTGATATGATGTTATCGCTTTACATATCCGAATTATCCATTTTTAATTCTTAAACAAATCTGCCTGAATTATGTGATATTTAACCAAATTTAATAAGGGAATTTGAAACGTTTCCATTCATAAAGTCCCATTAATGGAGCCATCATATACGTGACGAAGTGGGCAAACCTATAAATCCTTTATGGCAAAGTTATTTCAATAGAGTGAAATATAAAAAGTACCACATAGGAGATAAGGTTTCCAGAGAATAAAATTTCCATTATTTCTACTTTTAAGTTATTACGAGATAGAACTCAAAAAAATAAAGTACAATATAAATTATTAGGCTTTAAGTAATCCCCTAATGCCGCAAATTTTGAGCTTCCTTTTTACGTCCGTATAGAGTTTCACTTCCAACTCTAGTAGGGCCTCTGCAACTGTATAATATTTGTACATGAAAATAGTTTTATAAGGAGCCATAACCTTATCTGTTGTGGTTTTGCAGGGGTTTATTGTTCTGTTTGTAATGGTAGTACGTCGAGATACGAATAAAGAACATAATAATCAATCAGATATCGATAGCACTTCGGATTCTAACGAGGAGGATTTGGAATTTTTAATTGACGGACTTCTTGGAAATTTATCATTTAACGCCTCAAGGACTCAGAATATGACAATCAAGAAACGAAAAGATGTCTCTAAGCATGAACGCGCAGATCGAAATGTTGACGTTGAAACATCGGTACCAATTCAAGGACCTGGTGTAAAACGTAAATCGAACAGGAAAAATAAATCAAAAGGGCGTAAGGTAACCTCCTGCTCCTCGTCATCAAATAAAGACAGAAGTTGGCCATCTCACCGCGAAAATCCTTCCAGTCGTCATAATCGTTTAAATGATTGCCAAGTTGATATTGTTGAAATTTCAACAGGAAATAATAGCGAGGATGAGTACTGTCGAGCTGAGAATGTTCAGTTAGATGATCATGGCCTTGAACAATTGTTGAAAGAGAAAAAAGGTTGGAAAGTCATTCATGTTCGTGGCGATGGCGCTTGCCTTTTTCGGAGTGTTGGCAAGGCTATTTCTATTTCTTTATTCCCATATTTTTTTCTAGCTCACCAAGTGTTTGGCGATGAAGAAAAGCATGATGTCATTCGCAAACAAGTGATTGATTACTTGGTAATTTAACGTTTTCTTTGTTTATTATTTTAATCTAGAGGAAGAATCGAGAACACTATTCGCAATATGTTACCGAGGATTTTGATCGGTATCTAATTCGTAAAAGTAGTGTTGCATGTTTCGGAAATCATCTGGAGATACAAGCTATATCTGAAATATACAATCGCCCGGTTGAAATCTACTACAAAACGGCTAATCCTATCAACGTCTTCCACTCAGAGTATACAGGATTGGTACCTTTTCGATTGGCCTACTATGATTCATCTCATTATAACTCTGTTATTGATCCCTGTAAACCCTCAATTGGTCATGGCTTAGGAATGCCAAATTATCAACCAGGGGTATGGGTTGAAATTTACACCTAATCGTATGCTATTTTAGCTTCCTGAAGATGATCTAGTGAAACAGGCCATTTTGGAATCCGAAGCCACAGAGATTGAAGAGACTATGTTGAGGGACAAACTCGCAGAATCGGAGACAAAACAATTGGAAGATTGTATTGCAGAACATGTTCTTCGAGAATCTCTTCTGGAACACATAAAAGTCAAGGTCTGTCTTAGAATTCTCTAGAAGTTCTTTTTTAAGCTAATGAAGTAAGCAAATTCTTATCGAACTGATTGGTTAGCCTGACAGAATCTATTTTCCATGACCTAAGTTTCCACATGATTTATGTTTTTGATTTTTTATTGACTTCTATGCGAGTAGTTTTTTTACTATCGTGTTGGAGCTTTTAAATTTTAATCTATGGGCACTATGATATTTAATTGGAATGTTCGTTCTCGAACATTTTGTGCCAATGGTCCTTGTTATCGTGCAATTTTCTAGCTTTGTAGTCTTTTTTATCACAAACGTTCTTGACATTTTAACACAATGTTTTCTGCCTCTTGCTAAGGATTATTTATTATACTTCATTCGTTGTTGTTACTGGGAGCGTCTTATTATTTTCAATCTTAACTTAAATTCGAAGATAGGAGTGGCTTAATTTTTGAGGAGTTTATAGGTTCCGTAATTTTTAGTAGTTTTGATCTGGATTTACGCGATGATTGATGTGTAAGTGAATTGAAGCTGCTGAATTCTTTGTTCTTCATATTTTATTTTTTCCTTAAATCACGCCCAATTTTGTGGTCAAAGTTCCTCTCACAATTTTATTTCTTCGGTTTAAATGTCTGCTCCCTTCTATGGTTCTGTTTCAAATAACCTTTTTAATCTTATGAAAAGGAGGCTAGGCAAAATTGTGGTTCATTGATTTCCAAAGGGCAACTATTTATTGCCACACTTTGGTATCATTGACTAAATTAATATTGACCTATCACTGCTAGAATGCTCAACTCTGATATGTTCATTATTTTTGATTGGTGACAAACTATTATTGGTCGGAAAGTGGGCCAATCGATGAAGGTTGTTTTTATTCGCCATTTTGTGATTTGTCAGGGTTAGGACTCGGAAGTGAGGTTTTGTTGCCGTGGCTTCGTTATTGCCTATCGTGTGCATTGTTTTGCCTTCCTGTCAGACTTATTTAAGCGTCGAATAAACGCAAAACATGGGTGTGTGTCCTTCGTGTTGAGGTGAACTTACATGTCTGTTTGGCCAAAGGCCACGTATTTAGCACTGTTTTAACAGCACCTACTGTCATTATTTTTCAAAATAACCTCAATAATTCAATGCTATATTTGTTTAGCATTAATTTCATCAGTTGAAATGTTTGCATGATATGGTTTGGTGATTTTGTAGTCAGCTGCTCCCATGATGGATAGTCCTTTTTGATTGTTCGTTTATGGTTTAATAGCTAAGGCCTGATTAAATTTATCTAGATTTACTGTAAAGTTAGCTGATGTCGTCACTTTGGTAAGAGATAGATCATTTACTGGAATAATTTAGAAACTATTGTTGTACTAAAGTGATATTTTGTGACTAGGCAGAGAATATTGAAACAATCGTTCGTTATTTATTGGACTTCAGCATTAGATGTGATCAGACAAATGGCCAATTAATGATTAACGATTGATCTTGCCACGCCATAACCTTCTATTTTGAATTGGTATTGCACTTTCTGCTTTCGAGAGTGTGTCATTTTGCATTCCTATCACATTTTAATGCTTGGATTTCGCCACTTTCCCATTTGTCCCCTACAGTTGGTTACCTCAAAGGAATTTTGACTCAGCAAGTTTGGATCTGTGTTTTTTGTTTGCTTGCCTATTCTTAATTTGTTGCTACTAGATGTGACTTCTCCTTTTGCCCTTTAACTATTCCGAGTAGCCATTTAAAATAACGTGTACATGGTTGTCGATTGATTTAAACTTCGACTTATTCGAAGATGACGACGCATCCATTTTTTTTATCCCATTCCAACATAGAAATTCACTATAACGTTATCATCGCTAACATAATCCTATTTTGGTTAATCATTTATCTGTATACGCTATTGGTTAATCCAATGGCACATTCACGCTGACAATTCCATTCTGTATAAAGAATAGCATGATGCATATGAATGCCTCCTTATGTGTGAAGTGTCATCAATTCTTCTCGGAGTGCGATACACTCGCTTTTCTAATTCTAATCAAATTCCTATTGGTGTTACTTTCTTAGCTGTGTTTTATTCAATTTGCCGTTACTGTGTTTTTACTACTTTCAAATATAACACTAGGCTTCCAGTGTAAGCAAAGTAGCTGCTTAGCCGACTCAATTATCAATGCAATATTTGCTTCTCTAACGCAGTCTCTACAAGGGCACTTATTCTATGCTATGTGTTTAAAAAAATTCATCTATTTAATGACTTATTGTTCACACGATGAATGATATAAAGTGACCCTGATTGATCTCGAATCGAAATAATGGAATAAAAGTGCTTATTACTAGATTTTGCACCTTACTTGGATATGCTAGAACTTCGCAGTTTCGAGTAGGTCGTTAATTCAGCTATTTCCTCTTTGTTAGTTATTTCGTAGTTATTCCGGCTAGATAATTTGTAAATCAAATGTGCACAAATGGCAATGGTTGTGATTAAGATAATTAAGCTAATTTTTTTCAAAACTACATCTTTGAGCTCTCCAGTCTTATAAATTTGAATTTTCCCACAAAATATAGTCTAGGCTTAATTGGTGGTTATGTCCTTTACATTCACTGGTTGTGCAGCGATAGGCGTTGAACCTTTGTTCGTTAACTTCGAAGACTAGCACGTATTATCAATTTCACGACCGGGAATTGAGCTAATGTCTTCTACGCGGTAGACGGAGACGCTCTCGATTATTCTGTTTTAATCCTCTTTCTCTTTCAGTCGTCTGATCTTCACCGATTTTCCCCACAACCCAGAATGTCACCCCCCTCTCCAACAGCAGTTTTAACTTGGCGAACAGAGCCATTATCCACCATTGCTAATAAGAAACCTCCCACTTCCGCAACTCAAGCAGGATGTTCATCATCTTCCGCGGTCGCCGCGATTGCAAATCCTTCCTGTTCATCATCATCTGCTGCTGCTGATCCCCAGATGATGATGGAACCTTCTCTTGCCTCTTCCTCGGCAAATGGAGCGGCCGGGCAGTCAGCAACTTCAACAGATCCCTCCGCTGTAGATTTTACTGTTCTCCAGTATATCCCTTCGAACATGCTTGGTGAGTGTTGCTGTCTTTACTGGTCCTTTTAGCTATTTTCTGACCTCTAAAGGACGTGTCGAGATGCGCAAACTAAGTAATTTTTGGTTGCGCCCTACACCGCTTCACGGCTTTTTTTCAGTTCAATTTGCTCTTTAACTGTTGATGCGTCTGTTTTTTTTGGGTGCACCTCTGCTAATTTTTTTCACTATCAAGCCTGAATGCTCGAATTAGTTCGATGTATGGCTTGCTTGTTTGCTACATTATTTTGAGTTATAGTTGCTTTGTTTAGACTTTAAAGGATCGATTTTTCGAAGGTATGACCTATGTGTAAGTAGTTCAACAAATCTTGTAGACAGGAAAGGTCTAAAAGTGGTTGGGTAATGCAGTTTATATTGAGGCGCATAAGAATTCTAAGCAGCAACTGTCTTTCTTAAATGTCTATTTCCATCTCAACCTGGATAGATTTGTATTTGCTCATCTTTCTGAGAATGTTGCTAACACGGTCTTTCCATTTCTCAATCACGATATGTTTGATAGCACCCAATTGCAGGTTTGAAACTTTCCTTCATGATTTGCTTCCTTGGAAGTGTATAATTCGCGAATTGCCTCCAACTGCTATTGATTGGGAGTTCGCTTTTCACACGTTTGTGGGGTTTGTTGAAATTGGTCCATTCTTTTTTTGTAGCACAAGCTCCTTAAACGTTCGCGGTCTTATGATTGGCTTGAATCCGGCATACTTGCGTCGAATCTTTTTACCTTAGTTGAAGTTGTACTTTAAAATGTCAAATTTTCGCTTATAATGATTTGTACCCGGAAGTGCAATGATCGTTTTACTTTCTGCTTATTAGCTTGTTATCATTTCTAATCAAACATGTTCGTTTATTGATATACACTATTCTACTTTATACTATTCAAACAATAGGATTCCTAAGTACATAAGATTGAAATAGTTTGGGAAAAGGTGGGATAATTTACTCCATCAGAAGATTACTGTCTATCAATACATGCCACCACTTCGAACCTGAACCTGGTAGCAACATTAAGGGTGATATTCTCTTTCAACCGGAATTCAAGCAACCGGAAAAAAACAAGATTCGCATGTTGATCCTGTTGATGGTGTCAAAGCACTGGCTTAGGTTTCTTAGAAATCTACCACCCCTTTGAGGGCCTTACACTTCATCTTATTTGCCTGATCTCCCTCCTTTGGGACAGAAAATGACGTTTGTGCTCTTTATATTTCTATCGATTCGCATTTTAGATAACTGCGCGCCTACTTGGATCTGTTTAATTTCTCTCTTTTTGTGTGTGTTTTGAAAGTGTAGCTACCATTTTCTTCAGTAAAATCTTATTATGCATATATGTGTATATAGTTCCTGTTTACTTTATTACTTATCTAATTAACGGTGACTGTTTTTTGCGTATGGTTTGTTTCCCACTGCGAATTAAGGCACCAACTTTTTTCCCAGATTATGTGGAGCAGAGTTAGTTTCTCCGGTTCTGGTAATCGTGTCTTTGCATTTCTTTCATTAATTTGATTTAACCTCATTGAACTTATTCATCTTGATTGTGTGAATATCAAGTCACCGATCGTACGTCTTTACGATAACAGAACGTTTCAATTCTAGTTAATTATCTGGTATTTACTATGCCTTGTCCAAAAAATAGTTGGCAAGTAGCACTGCCTCAAAGTTTGAGAATGAACTCTAACCATAATTTAAAATCAATTTCTCCTTAATCTGTAGGATGGGCTTTCTTTAAAATAGGAATATCGCATATGCTTGTACGTCATCTCTACTTTATCTACTTAGAGGATGATTTATTTCTCACACGCTTATCGCATACCTCCCAGTTCTAATCTATGCATGTTTTTTGAGCGAGAATATTTTCAAGATCTATGAATCAGACGTGTTTTTATTTAGTATCCTCTAATTAAAAACCAGTAACATGGCGTGCACCTTCAAAATGATATGGTGTTGTAGTTTTCTTCATTGAATTGGGTCAAACACTCAAGTCTACTTATGGTACTAAATTTTTTTAACAAAATTTAGGAAAACTCCTGTAAGCTTGCTTGAATTTCATAGCATCTTTGTCAGTTGGTATCACTTAATTGCACGTGACCACCTTAAGAGACAAATTTATCGAGATGATAGGATTAGCTCGTCAATATAGTCAACCGATCAACTCAGCATCGGGGACATGAACTCCGTACAACCTGAGAATCAAGTCTTGGGATTTGAACCTTGAAGTATGAATGGGTGAAATGTAGCAGCAAGGAATGCGACTTCCTGATTCGATACCCGCTTCCTCCCCCTATTCTATATTCGCTTTCTGATGATTTCAAATGTGTAATAATGTTAAATGATATCTCTTTGTGGAAGTGACTACTTATCCACTAGGCATCTTAGTGCTATCCATTCGGAATAAAAACATAGACATTTATTTATTTCAAATGACAGGCATTTTGATAGTTATCATTAGCCCTTTAGGTGACTTCGGGCTTCCCAGAAGGGAGGAACATTAAAGTGAGAAAAATTCGACAGGGGAAAGAAGAGCGATTCACAAATGTAAAGGGGACATACAGACATAAAGGCAGAGAAAAGGCTAGATGAGTTCTGTGGAAGGGGTCGAATATGACATGCAGTCGGGCCATGGTAGTTTGAAGTCAGAGGTCAACTACCAGTTAATAGACTTTTTTTGCCGTATGAGTATACGTTGCCCAGGGTGCACCACGTGGAGGTAAGTCTATCGCACACCCCAAAACATAGACATAGTGTGTTTGAGATTTGTTTTATCGACCACCTATCACCGTGTTCATTTCTCTGTTTCATGATAATAGCATTCACTATGGCTCTTTAATTGTTGTTATAAGCACGCCCTTTTATTTATTAATCATCGAGTTATCTTAAACAACAGCGACCATTGATAATATAATTAGCATGATATGTGGCTTGTTTATATCTCATCCATCTCTTTACAAACATAGGTACCTTGAGGTATTGTCAGTCATATTTTGAAGATTGGCTTTTTATTAGACAAGGAAAAATCTATTTTATATTTCATCAAGCAATTTAGCAAAGTGGCTTAATATTTTCATATTTCTGTCCACGTGGCAACTGGATCGCGTGAAATCCAGGATGCTATCTTCTTGCGCCGCACACGCCTTCTTCTCTCATGACCTTATTACTCTTCAAAATATCCAAAAATCCCTGATTTTCAATAATATTCACGGAATTAAGCATAATGTCGAGCAACGACCCACAACTTACATACAAAAATTGTTACTTTGTTTTAGTATTAGGATATAAGTATTTCATTGTATCTAACATCTCGGCGAAGTTCTCCTTCATGACTTTTGAATGCAAGGTCTACAATAATTCGCTCTGCCTGACCACGTGGTCGAGGATGTTAGGTTGGAAAGTAGACAAAAGTCTTTAAAGTATTGGTTACAAGGGCCTCTGGTGATCTATAGGTTGAAAATTTATGACGTATACTATCAATTATCATGGTGATTGGGGTGGACTTGAGTGGAAGAACTTCTATCACAATAAGATATGAGAGACCTTTGAGCTGCTTGTTTTGGAACAGGGACGAAGTTTCTGGTGTGTGCGGTAAGCTTCATCCCTTCTTGACATTTAGAATGTCTTTGGATAACTGTTTCGATGTTCTTGTGCATTTCAGGCTATTGTGTAAACGTTATTGCAATTGATTTCATGTGTCTAACACCATTATGATTTCTATGGAATTGTTGAAATCCAGCTTGCATGTTTGCTAAGGCAATGGAATTGTAAGTGTGAAGTCGGGATGTCAATAGACGTTATTTGTACTCTCAGAGCATTGAAATATTTATATCAAATGACAAGCGTTTTGATAGTTATCATTTGCCCTTTAGTTAACTTCAGGCTTCACAGAGGGGAAGGAATATCAAAGTGAAAACAAGTTGAGAAGGGTGGGGAACAGAAGAATGCTTCAAAGATGTAAAAGAGACAGACACAAAGGTATAAAAAGTGTGAGGTGAGTTCTGTGGAAGTAGTCGAATATGACATACGGTGGGGTGATGGTAGTTAGAAGTCAAAAGTCAACTGCCAGTTAATGGACAATTTTGCAGTATGAGTATACGTTTGTCCAGGGTGTACCACGTGGAGGTAAGTCTATCGCGCA